TTGAGTAGTCCATTAATAGTTAATATTATGGAATATTTGCTCTAAGTTATGAACTCTTTTCAATACCCTATGCCATTCTATTTAATCCCCATAATACTTCTATGAATTATTATCATCACTTATTACTTAAAATTAAAGAGGTTAACAATTTTGTCTAAGATCTTACACTTGGTATGAGAAGACCGGTGTCTTGAATTCAATTCTGATTGTCATCAAAGTTCATGATCTTTATCCCTGCTATTCTGGTACTACCTGGTGCATAAGAAATTACTGATAAGAATAAGAACAAATCATCAATTTTATGTTAGGGATTTGGGAAAAACCTTAAAAATTTTCTGAGTAGGTAAGAAACTAGTCAGAGATTACTTAAAACAATTGGATTTCTTATGAACAAGGATGTATGAACCTATTTAAATCTCCAGCAATAGAACAATTTCCTACTTATATTTTCCTTAATATAAATATTTTTACTCTTAATTCCATAAGCATTTTTGTATACACACAACATTGCTGGCCCTGTTCCATGCTAATTGTTAGATAAAACCAAATAAAATATAGTCTACCCTTTGCACTGAGGTTATGTAAGGTCTTATGGTTATTATAACATCACAGGAAGTAGCCTAGGCCTCTGAGTCTCTGATAATTTTGCTGTAAGTCAGACTAACTGTTAGCTCTCTTAAACCAATATGTAATGATACTAACCCCAAGTGTATGGTTTCTAATCATTTGCAGTAAGTGAAGTGCTTGATTCCAGAGCTGGGGCAAGAAAGACACAAGATGAGTCTGGCATATTTTATCATCAAGGAAAAATGAAAATGCTAAAAAAAAGTGATGGGACATATCACAACCACACAAGAGTCAGAATGAAATCACCCCACTGGCCAAATAAGGGACGATTTGAGCATCAAAATAATTAGAACAGTAATGAACTATAATAATTTTTAAAAGTTAGGAATCCATAAGTTTATGTCATAATATGTAGATAAATAAACAAATAAATAAATAACAGGGGGAAATGAGGTTCTTGTTGACAGCAGAATGCCAAGTGCTAATTGGTGATAGTAAAAGGAGTACTTCAGCTTGAAAAAATCCTCTTTGATGATTATTAGGGTAAAGATTTTTCACAAAAGAATCACCGGTAATGCTAAGTGTAAAGTGGACAAGTAGCAGATATTTGTATGTTATGACCTTAAAATCTTCCCCTACTGCTTATTGGTAGCATAGGGCAAGAAAAAATAGCTGCACAGTACAGAAATCAGACAACATCTTGTTGGGTAATGGAAATTAACATAAAAAATAAGGAACAGATGGATATCCTGTGCCTCTAGATATCATTCCTTGAGAAGGTTACAACTTCATTTATTTATTTCCAGATGGGCATAACTAGAATGCAATAGTGAAGAAATGAGCCAGACCCAAAATGAGAAATATTCTGTTTTAAACACATTGTTGAAAAATATCAGTGTTCAGTAATGACAAAAAAAAGATAAAGAATTAGTCCCCAGACTAAGGAAGGCTAAAGTGATATGACAACTACATACAAAACTTGGATTCCGTACGAGAGAAAAAAGAATTCCATAAAGGACACTATTCGATCACTTGCCAGAATTGGAAGATGGATAGTAGTGAAATACAAGTATAATGACAATGTTAGATGTATGAACATCTGTGGTTATGTAATAAATGTCCTAATTCTTCAGAAATGCACACGGAAATAACTGGGGAGGAGAGAGCATGATGAATACAGGTTGCTTTCAAACAATTCAATGAAAAGATATAATACATGTATTTTCATACATATTCTACACATAGCAAATGATGAAGCAAATGGGAAAATGATCATGAATGAAAATTTTGATTAGCGCTTCAGAGTCCACAGATACAGAGGGCCCACTGTATGCGCTGATCTTATAAGTCCCCCATTTTATATAGCGGACTTAAGCATCTGCAAATTTTGGTGTCTGGGGGTGGTGGTGATCCCGGAACCAATACTCCTGTTATAACCAAGGAACAAGTTAAGTTTTAAGGAAGTAAAAATGATCAGGAATGAAAATATAATACATGTATTTTTCTACATATTCTACACATAGCAAACGATGAAGCAATTGGGGAAAATGATCATGAATGAAACTAAATAAAGGATATAGTGTGTTCTTTAAATGATACTGCGATCATTTTTAAATATAAATTTGAAATCAATCTCTGACTATAGACTAGAGAAAATAGAAAGAAATCACTGGTATACGTAAACTCTAAGGAAACTCATATATCCAAGACAGTTCTCAGGAGAGGTGAGTTTTAGGAAAATACGCTGAGTTGTTTGAACTAAAAAGTGAAAGAGCAACTCCAATGGCCTCAGGTGATTAATGTCTGCGATGTGGTGGAACACACAACCTAAGTTTTCTGTAGATTAGGGAGAAGCTCTGTGGAGTTATCATTCTGTTACTACATATTTGTTGTTAATTTTAAAAATGGAAATAGACCATGAATGAGTTGGCAAAAATTACCAAAGGTATTGGTAAAAAGATCGAAACAAATCACACAGGTACAAAAGCTAGACATCTCTTCCAATATTGACAGGGAGGACAATTGACCCTGGAACAACAAGGGTTTGAACTGCATGGTTCCACTTATATGTGGATTTTTGTCAATAAGTTCCCTGTGCTAATTTTGATGAGTGCTTCAGAGTCCACAGATACAGGGGGCCCACTATACACATGGATCTAGGCCATTTTACATAGGGCCTGAAACTTTTGGTGCTGTCAGGGTGGGGGGTGGGGTCCTAGAATCAATACCCCTAAACAACCAAAGGATAAGTTAAGTTTTGAGGGAGTAAAAATTTATAAGTGGATTTTGGGATGCACAGTGCCAGCACCTCTAACCTCTGCATTGATCAAGGGTCAACTGTGTATGTTTTTAACACTAAACTTTGATCATATGGTGACTGCTGTTTTGAGCTACATTTCTTTCATGAAATAGCAAAATTAAAAAAAAGAGAATATACAAAATATTGATATCTCTTAGGTAAAACATTAACATATATGAATTTTACAATTTAGCATTCAAATATAAATATATAAATGGACAAAAGCTAATAGAATTATCAGGCATGTTACTTAAAGCAGGAACTCCACAGTTCTGCACATTTAAATATAGATAGTTAACAAATTATAATTTGAAAATATTGGAAGCATTTATAAAAATATCAGCCATGTCTAGCTATTTATTGGATAATAGTTGATACTTATGCTAATTTTTCTAATTTGCTCTGTATGGCAGGAACAGGAAAACAAATCTATGTACAGTTTAACTTATAAACCCAATCTGTCTTCTTTCAGCTTCATGATGTTATCCATTATCATTATTCTAATAACTTCACTAACCAATATTCATGCTATTTAATTAAACTAAAATGTACCCAAGCACTTTAAAAAGAAGACTATGCATAATAACAAGCACTGCAAAGCAGGAGAGTTAAATCCAACATATTAATCTTAAATTGTATAAAGATGGAGATTCTGTGCCTCGTTCTTACAAAAAATATATTACCATATCAGATTTAAATCCCTGGAAAGATGATTAAGAATCAGTCATACATTTGCATATCATCTTATACTTTATAAAGCACGTTTAGGCCTAGTATCTATTTGCAGTCTCACAATAGCCAGGGATTATTATCATTTGATTTTGGAAAGTAGGAAACTAGCTGAGAATAACCGAGGCTAAGCGATTTGTGCTAGCATTGGTTGCACTGATGACTAGGGAATTGGCGATAGGAACACATTTATCCCAACTGTTAGTCCTGCATTTGTCTCACACTCCACAGAGAGCCCTGTCACTAATTCAGTGCTCACATGCCAGTTTTTATGATCCTGTAGCGACTCTAGAGAGTGAAGTGTTTGCAGTCAAGAGTGCACTCATGCTTTAGAAACATTATAGAGGCCATAATGCATATCGTATAAGTGTATACTGCTGTTATATTGATTTCCTTCTCACATTAATAGTAATACTAAGCATATGATGTGAGTAAGTCTCATCAGACCTACTGTATAAATGAGGAAACTGAAAGACACTTAAGGATAAGTGATATTAAAGAAAGCATTAGCAGATCAAATAGATGTTCCAGCTGTCCTCTTCCTATGCCTCTATAAAATGTGTCTTTCTGATTTCTTTAAAAGCATTTTCATCACAATAGCCTTGTTGAAACTATTTCCACTAAAAATATAGAACAAATAAAAATCAATTTTCATTATCTGAAATGTTGTGGCATCCTGCTCATTAAAAGCACTGCTTTCACTTCCATGGTAAATGTAAAGCTATATAGTTCAAATGTTAAAATCGGACACAAGTTGATGATTCTGTTAGAGTCGCTGCTGTGAAAACAGAAGTGTTTTGATGATTATCCTCAGTTTCCTAGGGTGAACTTCCCCTCTTCATGCCACGCCCCTTAATTCTACAGAGGTACATGGTCTTGTACAAGTCGCTTAAACTCTTGGGTTTTAAGATCCCTTCATCACTGAAAATGTAATTCTAACTACCAGATCCTTGATTCTGAACTGCATTTTCAAATTAGACCCAGCAACCTCATAATTTGTATAATGTGATTTTCCCCTGATTACCTTAGCCGTTCATGATGGCCTATTAACATGTGCATGCGGACAGAATAAAAAGCCTTACACATGTCAACGAAAATATTTCACTTGGAATATTTCCATTTGGGCCTTTTGTCTATTGATGTGCAATTCTCCAGGATACTAAAATGAAAATAACCTTGACTAAGAATCATGAGACACGGGTTCTATTCCAGGCTCTGACAGGAAATGTTCATTTAACTTTTGTGAGCGACAGCATATTTAGGTATAAAGAATAAGTATAAAAATACGCGTCCTGCCTACCTCATGAATAAGATGTAAGAGAATAAATTGACTCAAGTTTGGAACAAGTGAGGTTAAAGGAGAATAGTGAACAGCACAAACAACACTGGCATAGTTCTGCTTTACCTGACGGGGAGATGTGCCGCCAAGAAATGGTAGGCTCTGGTTTCCCAGTGGCCAAACAAATTAGGGTGACATTGGTTCCTTCATTGATGGTCATATCACTTGAGATGTCATATATCTTCGGAGGAACTGAAATGGTAAAACATGCAGTGGTCAGAAAAAAATATATAAAATTCTGTTGAGCTATATATGATAACTCCATGATCTCATGCACTAAAGCTGGGGTGGTGAAATGCACTTATGGCCTATGATCATGATCAGTACCCCAAAGATAGATTCTCTAGCTCCTCAAGACTCTCCCAGAGCTTTCTTTGTTAGTTGGTTAGTTTTATTTTTTTCTAAATTTTAGATGTGTAATATTTAATAACAAAAATGTTTAAGTGTTGCTTAAATTAAAGTTTCATTGTGGATATTTTTTATTGTTGTTGTTAATCCTCACCCAAGGATATTCTTTTCCCACTGATTTTCAGAGAGAGTGGGAGGGAGGGGGAGAGACTGAGAGAGAGAGAGAGAGAGAGAGAGAGAGAGAAATATTGATGTGAGAGAAACACATCCACTAGTAGCCTTCCACCTGTGTCCAAACCAGGGCTAGGGATTGTGTCTGCAACCAAGGCATGTGCCCTTGAGCAGATTGAATCCATTATGCTTCAGTCCACAGGCCAACGCTCTAACCACTGAGCAGTAACCGATAGGGTTATTGTGGCTATTTTGTATTAAATAAACTGGAGTATTCATAATCAATCTGTTCTATCCATGTATCTTCACCATAATGATGGTTTTCTTGTTGAAAAGAGTAACAAAAGTGGAAATTTAGAAGAAACTTAAGCTAAAACAGTTGTGCCTACATCTTGATTCAAAAGCTGAGTAAGATAAAAACATGTGCGGGACTGGGAAGTAAGATTCCAAATTCTCAAAGGCATTTTGGGCTTCAATTTTCTATCTGCTAAATAGTAGGGCTGGAGATTGCCAGCATTTATGTTCTAAGGGACACTATTACTAGGGGCTGTGACACTTGTGCTCCACAAGAGTTTTCTTGTCAGTGATGGCTGGAAACCACTGGTTGAAACAGTTCTTTGCTTTTGGATTTCTTAGAGTCTCCGTTATGCCCACTATACCTCTCAAGAGTAAAGGGGAAAATATTATGTTGTATTTTTGTATTGTCCCTGATGTATTGGACTATGGGAGCTTTTATCCCAGCAGCATTTGGTGAAAAGTTTACAGACCATGGAATACAGGTTGGGAAAGTTGGATAGAAAAATCCTTAAATTAACTTCCTGGATTAAAAGGTCCATTATTCTCTCAAATACCAAATGGTCTCATTTAAACCTCAAACAACATGGATATGAATCCTGGGTCCTCTACTGGCTAGTGAGTTATCTAGGGCAAGTTACTTAATGTATCTCAGACTCAGTGTCTTCATCTGAAACTTGGAGGTAATAATACAAACCCCATGTAGCTGCTGGGAGCATTCTAGAAGTCAATACATGTTAAAGGACTTAGAAAAGTACTTGACATTATTAGCTATTATTTTTAGATGCCTTAAAAGACATATCATATTGTATTTAATTTCAGTACTGCTCTTTTCCCATGCCTTAAACTGCTCTCAGAACTTCATCACTTTGGTAGTGTATGACTGGCTTATAATACACATTTTGGTTTACTATATAAAATTATAGTGTACTGAGAGAAACATCCACTGGTTGCCTCCCAATGGCAATTAGATACCTTGATAACTATTAGAAAAATATGCTTTTTTTACTAAAATATTTTAATTGTTAGAGTTTCTTCATGCAAGAGATATTTAGACAGTTATTTAAAAAAACAGTAACTAAAATCTATTTTAAGGATAAATTAAATTACCTATCCTGTGAATATCATCTTTGATTTTTTAAATGAAATCATAACTCTGTCATAAGAAAAATCTAGGATAATTATTATGGGTATAAAGCATTTGATTATATGTAACTGTTGCTATGATTGAAGAAAATGCTTATTCCTAAGTGGTATACTATTGTAACTATTTCTAAATGACATATTTTTAATGAGCATTTAAAACATGTTATTATTAAGCTCTTCAGTGAGCTATTCTCAGGCAAATAATAAAAAAAAATAAAAACCATTTTAAACAGGTACTCTTTTTAGCTTAACTGACACAGAACAAAAATATAGACATTAAGATACTATAGACAGAAAATTGAAAGAAATGTGAATTATCTATTACTGGTGAACAGGAGAGTTAATAAAAATAAACTTACAACATTAAATAGGAATACCATTAGCTATGTGGATGTAGGTATAAATTTGATACAGCAAACTATAAAATACATGTGTAAATATGTGAGAATATACAAACATACACAAATGCACATACACACAAATACATATATATACTAATGCACACTATTAATAAAATAAAAGAAAAAGTTACTTAGTACTTTCTCCTTTATCTGGAATATAGTACACAGAGATCAGCCTAGGATGGTTAGTTTATTTATATATTTTAAACACATAACTGATTCAACTTTAGACAGAAGTTGTGTGTATATTTAAGAGAAATGATGAAGTGTCATAAGACCATATATCCTATCCTCTCAATTACATTATTTTGTCAATTCTATCAGATTTTAAAGTAGTTTAGTTTCACCTTATGCATCTGCCTGTATTTTAAGCAGTAAACATGAATGGTACACTGATATTAAGCACAATATTTGACTTCGCAAAGAAACAACAGAATTTCTTAGCCATAAACTTAGATTTGACATTTAGCTATGGGAAATTGGTAAGGGAAGAGTACTGAATTCCAGGTGTGGCATGTCATCTCAGTGATTGCAATCACCTCTCGGGGCCTCATGATTCAGGATATGCTACAGGGAAGGAACATATGGAAAGAGGAGGTAAGTAAGGGAAATCCCTTTGGCAAGGCTCTTCTCCCCAGAATGCATCATCTGTTGACACCAGATACTGTGTGTTAGGGTGGGAGGTGGAGGCAAGGAAATCTTTCACATGCACTGTAGTTTGTGGAGGCAAAAACAGATGTTGCTTCACTGAATATTCAAAGCATTTGTCCATTCTGTTTAAGAGTTCTACCGAATGTATGAAAGGTTAATTCTGGACACACAGCAAATGTAGAAATTTCAAAGCATAATCCTTGCCCTCAAGGAACTTAAAATTAAGAGGAGGCAGATAGGAATGTAACTAAGATAAGATAAATATTTTCCACATTGTTCTTTACCATTTTACATGAGTAACACATATTTAATAGCTATGCCTTCTGGGTTCAAATCGGCAAAGATTGGTTTCATATTGGTTTATTTTAATGTGAAACATGTAGAACAACTTATGCACAAAGCTATTTGGTCCGGTGCTATTTATAATGGAGAAACACTATTAATAACCTCAAAGTAGGACAACATAAATGTAGATATTGTCAGCTCTGTATCCAGAATAAGGCATGGTGCTGGGGAAGGGTTTGGGTTCATTCCAGGTGCATCAGGCTAAGGGAAAATGGAAGAGAAAAGAGATGCTTCTATGTTGGGTGGCAGGGACTGGGAACAATGCTGTTATCTCAGGCATCTTAAGACCATCTGGTTCTGGTATCTCTTCCTGGGTTACAGATTGTGTGTAAATGATCCACAAGCACACAGGTGGGAAGGACTCTATTGAGCCTTCTGAACGACAAAGCAAGCAGTGTGTCTTATGGTATGTCCAATATGCTGTGCTCTAGCATAGAAAAACAAGAGTTAAAATAATTTACTATTAATTCTAGATGCATGTTCCTTGTCTATATACTGTATTCCAAACTTTCTCAAATGCTTTATTTAATAGATTTTTATTGATTTCAGAGAGGAAGTAAGAGGGAGAAAGAGATAGAAACATCATTGATGAGAGATAATTATTGATTGGCTGCCTCCTGCATGCCCCACACTAGGGATCAAGCCCAAAAAATGGGCATGTGCCCTGACAGGGAATTGAACCTTGATCTCCTGGTTCACAGGTTGATGGTCAACCACTGAGCAACACCTGCTGAGCTCAAACACTTTATTTAGAAATTTAATTTAAATGATGTGTTTACAAAGGAGTGAATGTGTTAAATCAATTCAATTATTTTAAGTAACTATGAATATTTATAAGCATTTTGGACTTCTGTGATATTATTAAAGTATTTATGACCATAGGAGAGTAATAAAGAAATATGTTATTCGTCTAAATGTAAACTTGTTTAATTTACAGTAAATAATTATTATAACATTATCATTACTCTCATCATCAATATGACACCATAAATAAAAACAGTAAAGGACAGAAGTTCTAGATTTCATACAAAATCATAGAATATCTCTGTCCTAATTGGACTTTAATTGGGGATATATGAGATTTTATTATTTTGTTTATAATTATGTGTTGTGTATGACCAGTGAAAGAGATTGTAAAATATCAGAAACTTTCCAAAAACAGAAGTTGGGGGAGGAGAACCAAAATAGAGGTGTAGGCAAACACCTGTACTTGCCGCCTCCCACAACCACATCAAAATTACAACTAAAGTACAGAACAACCATCATCCAGAATCACCGGAAAGCTGGCTGAATAGAAGTCCTACAATGAGAGAAGCAAAGAAGAAAGCACACAGGCTGGTAGGAGGTGCAGAGGCGCAAAACAGGCTGGTCTGGCACCCAGGTGTGCTGCTTTTTTAATCAGGAGGGGGATCCTCTCTGCTGAGGCCTCTGGAAGGAGCAAGGGGCCCCAACCCACACCAGACTCTCAGCCCAGGGTCCCAGAGCTGGGAAAAGAAGTCCCTACAGACAGTAAGAACTACTGGCTATAAAAACCAGTATGGATTGGGGCTCAGTGACACAAAGGCTGCTGGAGACCCAAGTGCTCCTCTTAAAAGGCCAGCACCATGAACTTAACTTACAAGCTCCTGCTTCCTCTGAGCTCCAATGCTGGGCCAGGCTCTGGGGATCCAGAAACATATGAGGAGAAACTGGACTGTCTGGCATCGGGGCAGGAACTCAAGGGCAGCTTGCTTTCAGAAGGAGATGCTCACAGCAGTCATTGTTCCTGTGCTGGAACCTTCACGGTGTCAGAGCTGACTGACAGCCATTTCTGTTTGCTCCGCCCTGGTGATTCCC